AGGCCCCCACCAGGCCCCACCTACTCCATCCACTTCACAGAGAGCAGGGTGCCTACTAGCAGAGTCTAGGAGGGGACCTCTTCTTGGGATCACCAAATTGCAGATGTGGGAACAGCCCTAACCTGTCACAAGCTTTGGTGGCAGACCTGTGTGTGTGTGGCTGGACTATCTGTGAGGATGGGATCAGAGCTGGCTACTGTGTGCCACCAGGACACATGCAAGAACCTAGCCCTGAGAGGCTATGGATAGAGGGTGTGGGATCTTTTCTGATCTCTCTCTTCCCTGAGGAATGTTTTCCTGCTTTTACCCATCAAAGCCGTGGCCCAAAAAGGCCACAGAACCTTCCATAAGTCAAAGTTAAAAAGACTCCCTTCCCATAGGTGATACCCTGGGATAGGCAGATCAAGTGTCAAGTTGAAGAAAGTAGAGCCCCTGGGCTGGCCCCACCAGGAGCCCAGGTGTCCTCAGTCACCTAAGGACCAGCTGAGCAGAGGAGCCCCTTCAGGCCCCACAGCCTGAGGTCAGGAAGTCACACTACAAAAGGACCCCTCACAGTCTGTTCCTGAGGCAGCTGGCATGACAGGCAGGAGGGATGTTTTGGGGAGGGCATCCCCTAAGACAGCCAGTGCTGCCCCTATTGCCCAGGAATCCAGGCAGGGGTCACCCTTCTACCACTGCAATCAGTGTATACTCCATGCAGGGCCACCCAGTGGTCTCTTGTTGACCAAAGCAGAATGACCTTCATAAACCACAGGGGAGGACATGAGTTAGACGTCTGAGCAACAGCCCCAGGCCCCAGGCTGGTGAGTGGAGAGCAAGAGCCACAGCTGTCCTGGCTCAGTCCTTTCCACTCCCAGCCCCGCAGCCCAAGGATTTGGGCGCTCTGCTCTGGAAGCCAGGTCACAATGGATGCCCACAGCCGTCAGCACCGTTTGGGGGGCTCAACAGCACTTACAGTTGACACACTTTAACTCAGGTTGGTAGGCTCTGGGCCTTCGGGAGTCAATTACTGGGTGGACCCCTGACCCTGGGGAGGGGGTGCAGGCCCCAGAAGGGCGCCCCAGGTCACCCAGGGCAGTGCAGGAGGTGGCCCCATGGGCTCTTCTGCATGTGACATGTGCAATGTGACAAGATGCAGTGTTGTTCCGGGCTGTGCTCATGGATTCATAATCATTCCACACAAGATGCATAGGAGAAAAAGGCCTGACTGGTTGGTTGCCTCTGAGTGGTATAATTATCGACTTTTTTAGATTTCTCTGTAATTTCATATACTCTGAAAATTATCTCCAAGAGGATACATTTCTAAAAAAAACCCCCCAAAACCTCAAGGCACTGCCCCTTCCCCAGAACAGCACAGGTTTGGGCTACAGCTGGGAAATGCTGGGGCCTTCCATCCTTGTGGGACAGCTCTGTGCTTCTGGGGTCTCAGCACCTGTTGCAGAACCTGTGGGCTCACCTGGGCCAGACCCCATCTCAGGCCCAGGCATCTGGCTAAGGCCATAGCTATGCGCTACAGCCCAGGTGAGACCTTTCCCAACTCCCCATCAGGTCCTTCCCCCATGAGCCAGAGGGGATGGAAGCCAGTTCCAGGAGGTGGCCAGGGTCCCATCCACATAAGGTCAGAAGGGCAGCAGGAGGTTGGGAACTAGGAAAGCCCAAGCCTGATGTGTTTCAGCAATTTTNCTCTGCTCTGGAAGCCAGGTCACAATGGATGCCCACAGCCGTCAGCACTGTTTGGGGGGCTCAACAGCACTTACAGTTGACACACTTTAACTCAGGTTGGTAGGCTCTGGGCCTTCGGGAGTCAATTACTGGGTGGACCCCTGACCCTGGGGAGGGGGTGCAGGCCCCAGAAGGGCGCCCCAGGTCACCCAGGGCAGTGCAGGAGGTGGCCCCATGGGCTCTTCTGCATGTGACATGTGCAATGTGACAAGATGCAGTGTTGTTCCGGGCTGTGCTCATGGATTCATAATCATTCCACACAAGATGCATAGGAGAAAAAGGCCTGACTGGTTGGTTGCCTCTGAGTGGTATAATTATCGACTTTTTTAGATTTCTCTGTAATTTCATATACTCTGAAAATTATCTCCAAGAGGATACATTTCTAAAAAAAACCCCCCAAAACCTCAAGGCACTGCCCCTTCCCCAGAACAGCACAGGTTTGGGCTACAGCTGGGAAATGCTGGGGCCTTCCATCCTTGTGGGACAGCTCTGTGCTTCTGGGGTCTCAGCACCTGTTGCAGAACCTGTGGGCTCACCTGGGCCAGACCCCATCTCAGGCCCAGGCATCTGGCTAAGGCCATAGCTATGCGCTACAGCCCAGGTGAGACCTTTCCCAACTCCCCCATGAGCCAGAGGGGATGGAAGCCAGTTCCAGGAGGTGGCCAGGGTCCCATCCACATAAGGTCAGAAGGGCAGCAGGAGGTTGGGAACTAGGAAAGCCCAAGCCTGATGTGTTTCAGCAATTTTAATACATTCAAGAATATTTAATAGAACAAAGTAAAAAAGTATCACCAGCAGAAGCCCGTGGGTGAGAGAAATAGAAACGTTAACTGGCCCTTTTGCAGTAAAGCTTATGCTTCAAAGGAAACAAGGCAAACTGATTTTCTGGAAGCTTCACATCAAGTGCCACTGGGCCAAAAGCACCTCAGAGTATCACTTTCAGGTATATGTGACCATCCAGAATCATCCCATAAAGCCAAATGTTATGAGGATCCTATTAGAAAAAGCAAAAAGTCACACTTCTGGAATCTTCTGTGGATCCACATGCAAACATGGGCAGCCCAGCCAGGCACCCCTGCATGACCTGTTGGCAGGAAGACAGGTGGGTCCCCAGATAGGTGGGACTGGGGGCGGCCAATCCCTCCTCTTGGTCACCCTCTGCCCTGTCACTGGCCCCAGAGCATGATCTGGGCAACGCCAGCCATGCGGTGGCTGCCCATCAGCAGTGGCTGTTCTCCTCCAAGACACTGGAGACCCCATGACAGCGCAAGCCACTAGGGCTGGATCACTTGGCTAAGAAGGGACAAAGGTGTGAACTGCAGAACTTCTTTTCCATAGGACAAGACAGCCCCCCTCCAACATAATAAATAAACAAAAAAACATGCTGCAGATCAGACACACTGGGTCCAGACAGGAGCCTCTGTGAGCAAATGGGAGGAAAAGGGAGGGCACAAAGAACCAAGTGAGGAGAGACATCAAAGACGGCCCCTCTCACCGGAACAATCCCTCGGCAGACAGCACCTGTTAACAGAGCAACAAACAAGCGGAGAACCTGGGCAGGGGACACAGGGATAAGCAGGTGTCTACCGAGTTCTATCCATGTGCTTGGGGGCGGCTCCACTTACAAAAAGCCTCCAGATGAGGCAGCAGCCGGAGCAGCCAGGTTAGGAATCTGGACAGGGCGGGAGGGCATTCTCCAGCCACCTGGCGACCACGGGCCAGCAGGCTGCGCACACACACACTGTTTCATAATAATCACATTCTTTTCTAGGCTACAGACATGTCAAACTCCTAGTCTAGAACATCATGCTCAAATGCAGAACCCTCAGCCCACACTGGCTGGTGGCCTTCTGCGAGTCCCCTCCTTGCATCTGGGCTGGGGCAGCGATCCTGTTTCCACTGGTGGCAGCTCTTCCTCATGCTCCTTTCCAGGCGCTAAACACAGCTGTATTCAAACCAACAGCTACTGTGTTAGGTGCACGTGAAACTTGGGCTCCCTGTTCCCAAAAAGGGCTGAGTCCCAGTCTGAGAGTCACTTCAACAGAACACCTTGAAGAATAAGGCTTTGGTTCAACCTGTGCAGAAGGGGGTTGTAGTGAGGCTGCCTGTTGCTTGATTGTGGAGAGGGCTGCACGGCAGGGGACCCCCTGCATCAGCGGGCTGCGGAGGCCTCCAAGACCCTGTGTGTGGCCACCCTTGCAAGGAGAATTAAGGCACTTCCTTAAATCTTGCCCAAGTGGATGACATGTAGGCAACTCAGAGTGATTTCAAATTATACTGTCTGGGCTCCCTCAAGTTGTTTAGTTTTTTCTCCTGCTACTTCCAACTTCATTCCTGGCTGTCACCACACTAATGTCCAGATTTTGTGTTTTATCTCTATGCTTACCAAAACAATTTAACTTTGGTGCTAATACAACAGGAGCTACTTTCCTTCAATATTGCTCATGAGAAAAAAAAAAATTTTTTTTAAACTAGAGAATTCCTTATGATCAATTCTTTTGTCCAGAAACTTTGCGTCAGAGCTGGTTTCCCAAGCCCCTTCAAGGCTGGAGGACAGGTCGGCAGAGCAGCAGCAAGGGGCCCCTGACCCATCTCCTGTGGCCAGCCGCGTGAACTGTTCAGTGGCAGCAGAGAGCCGGAGCAAGTCGTCTTCATGTCAGCTTAGTCTGAAAACAACTAAACCGTGTTGGCCAGGACAGCCCTGCCATGCACTGCTGTGGCGACACTTCTTGAAACCAAGCCCACGTAAAGATTTGAGGCCCACTTGCCTGGTGCCGGGAAGCGGGAACCTCTGTCAGGCACCAAGTTCCCTACTCGGGTCGCACGGTGACAGAACCGGCGCTGGCGAGCACTCAGGAGTGCCATGGCTGAAGCTTTCACTAACCCGTGAGCTGCCCACATAATTTAATCCCCTTTCCCCAAGTTTAACTGTACATGAGCCTTATTTTAAATACCCCACAGCACTAGCATAGTTCAATATTCTCTTCAGAAGGAAAACTCCAGCAGCAAATCAGCATATGTGATGTGTGTTAAGCCCACGCTGACCTCTGACTGGACAGGTCAAGTGGGAGGAGCTTGGTTAGAGCACCCGTGGGCCACACAGGCCCGAGTTCTCCCAAGTTGGAGGCCCTGGGCTGAAGGCTCAGACGCTTCGGGGCAGCCTAGAGTTGCTGAAAGCTTTATGGGGCGCGTAGCTAATGGTGTTGGTGTCGCTTGGTAACTGGGGAGGGTCCTTCAGGTGTGCTCAGGTTTCGAAGTACTTGTAGATCGCCGTCACATACAGCATCACGTTTTGCCAATCAGGCCGTTCAGTTCGCACCATTTCATTAATGTCCTGGCAGAGAAGGAAGAGGCCTGGTTAGAATTCCATGTCACCTCCTGGCCCATCTCAACAGCCTCTTGGCCACAGCAAAATGGACTCTGAGGGGTGGGCAGGGCCTTGAAGGACTTTTGGTCTAAGCCCAATCACACACGTCAAAGGCCTGGCCAAGACCCCTGCTCCATTTCTACCAAGTGCCCCAGAAAGTGCCTACTCCCTGGGCATCAGTGTTGTCCCCAAGCCACCCACCCCTGCTCAAGTCGCACACCAGGGTCACCTCCCTGCTCCCCAAGGCTGGGAGAGTTTCATCTCCTGGGACAACCTCCCCTGCCTGCTTCTATTCTTAAACCCTCCCTGTGGTCGCTTTTTTTTTTTTTTTT